GAAGGCGTATATGCCGGGTTGTTCGCATGGGATGTCCTCGCCGATATACTACAATGTCTCGTATTAGCAATTGACTCATTTGGGCGTGATGTATAAGCATTTCGAGAAGGTACGAGGCTCCTAAGACAGAATACACGTTTCCAAAGGAGTCTTGATAACTGGAAAGGGAACACAATGACTTTGAGCAAGGGTTACTTACGCCACCGACAACCACAATCTGTCCGTCACGGGCTGCACACGAATGTCCTGCTCGAGCGGGCGGTTCGTTACCTGATGTATCGATCTTGATCCACGTGAATGACGGGATCGTCAGGATCCATACGTCAGTATATTGTACCTATGCGACACCATAGTCAGTAGTTGCTCGAAGTAGTATGACCATTGGAACACTTCGTCACACACATGGCACGTGCGAAAAGACAGAAGAAAAGGGGGATATGGGGTGCCAAGAAGATAAGAGTACTGACCTGTTGTCCTACCGGTAGAAGGTTCTGTCCACCGTACATGTATATGTTGAAAGAGCTTGCGTCAGGCGCTGAGAAGACAACAGCGCAGGGGTTGACGCGCACTGAGGGCTTCTCGTCGCCAGATGTCTCCTGGTGGTACCACTGACTGCTTGCGATATCATACACGTCGATAGTAGTCATGGACGAGAAGGCGTCCGTCGAATCGTTGTTGCCGACCACACCACCACCAAGACCAAGTAAAATTCCGCCTGGACCCCAGCCAGGCACATACACGAGGACGCCGTCCGCACGTTCGGCAAACCCGTCCTGGTTCTGCTCTCCGGCCCACGTGATATTGCGGTACGCGCCACTATCTGGCGCACCGGAGTTCTGGAGCGATTGGACTTGTTTGTTGGAGTAGCCGGGATGCGTGAATTCGAGGAGGCTCTTGAGGTAGACTCGAGGGATCTGGTTCGACCATCCCTGTGTCGTTGCCCAGTCGACTCGGCCACCAAAATACCAACTCAAACCCAGCTCTGGCACTGACACGCCAGCTCCTTCAGCAGCACGTTGCACGGGCTGACCCCCTGCGTCGGAGTATTGGCCAGCTGACGTTTCCGGATTTTGAAATTCGGTCCAGGTAGACGACGCGATATCGTACTGCCACGTTGAGACGGGCAATGGCAAAGTCGATGGATAGTCGAACTCGCCTCCATATAGAAACAGGTGGTCGTAGTCGTTCCAGAGATATCCCAGCGACACGGCTGGCGGGCCGGAAGGTTGCGGCATCCCACTCACTGATGGGGAACTAACATCCCATGACTTTGTTAAATCCACCGTAATGAAGTCGTTGGCTACTCCGTGTTAGCTATAGTGACTATAACATTGGAACATTTAGAGACGTACTCCATGTGTTGGTGGTCTGGTCTGTACTCGTCTTCTTTCGACCACCGTAGTAATAAAGTGTACCGTTCAGCACAGCGCCTATTACTATCATCAGCATCTATTTGATCTCTTCTTAGCCTGTCTGACACTACTTACTTTGTCCAGCCCACCTCTTGCACACGTCCGTTGGGCTATTTGCACGGTCTTCTAGTACAGATGTAATTATCGGTTCCCGAATTACACCCGCATCTGCGCCGTTCATTTTCACCTTTTTGCGGCCATTATTGTAGCTGATGGCAGGCAGAATGACCGCGATGAGTACAACAATCATAGCAAATCTGTGGAATCCCGCTATTGAAGCGGGCGGTGCGGTCGCGGCAGGCTTGATTTTCGGTCGTTTTTCCGGTAACAATTTCGACAACCATTGAGACTTTTCCCGCATCGACTCCCCTCCCACAGAGTGTTTTCGCTCCGGTACCGCTCGCGACTCTCGCCTCGTAGTGGTCTCGTCACTTATTTGCTTCTCCTCATAGTTTTGTCCACCGGTCGTGTATTCGGTATTCTCCACATCATTTTCATCAAGACCAATTTCTCGGAACACTGACTTCCTCCCTTTCTGAATTCTGCCGCTTCGGGGAATCGCCATGTATCTCGAACCCTCTGCTAACCTGTCGGCAGTGACCTGGGAGTTGAAGCGTGGTCGTTCGTAGCTGGGGCGTTGTTCGCACAGTTCGGAAGTGCTATGTCGAGGTCGAGTGGGCGTCATAACGAGAAGAGATTGTAAGCGTATAATTGGGTAGCTGTCATTGCTTTATTCAAGGTTATTTTTCATATGCTTCGCGCTGCAGCGCGTGATGCAAAATGTAAGATAAAGGTGGCGTGAGACGCATGAGGTCACAGCGGGCTTTTTAATAACTGTATGCTCTGCGAGGCATGTAAACCATTGGCAGGATAATCGATGATCGATCAACGGTTCGATAGTGGCAGTAACCGAGCCTGCATGGGAGACCCCTCAATTTTACCGTTGACAACTCTACAACAGGGGGTATGAAGTAGACCCTGGCCCAACTACATCATCGTGCCATACTTATTCAATAGGGAAGTCCTCATGTTTGAAAATGTGTTAGATAATTTAGTATGCCTACCCCAGACCGCCGTGGCAAGAGTTACCTGCTCCGTTAATCCTGTTTTGATCTCAAAAGTCGTTCATTGCCGTTTTAGGACCACCCTTCTGAATTAGCATGATATGATTGGTTCCCATCGAAACAGGGGCATCTCGAAAATGACGACACGACCCCCTGATCTGGTTTTTACGCCCGAAAACAGTAGCAAGCTTATGACCTCTCATTTGTAGCGGTCGGGGCAGAAGCTCCAACCGATCATGCAACGCATCGGTCTGGTCAAGAACTGGCAGGCAACGAGTGCACTGCCTATTTAATATCATGTTGTTTTAATATAGGTAAGTAGGTAATGCTGAATAAGAACTACAACGTTCCATCTATTTTCGAAGCAGCATATACCTGAAAAATACTTTGAATATTACCGCTCAGAAATTGGCAGAAATAGAAATGACGCTACAGCCAGGATTTACGTCAATCCTTCGGGGCGTCAGAAGCACTGTGTTGATTTCATCCAGCCTATGCTGCTCAAGAGCCAAACACAATCGGTCATGATCTAAAGTAAAGTGTTTCTTTGAGCTATACAAGTCAAAATGCATCTTATCATCATCTCCTCAGCACAGTTAGCAGGTGATCAAGTCGCAGCCTATATATAATAAAGACATTGTGCATTGTGCTCTTTTTTGCCCGCGGTCTATGAGATTCAACAAACCCGGTGCACAGGCTCCCCAGCAGTTACAAAGCCGGCAACATTTGCTCTACAAGTCCTACTATAATTGTCAAAAGTTTCCTCTGAATACCAGGCCACATGTGGTGTCAGCACTAAATTGAGTCCCGCGGTGTCCGCCGCGAGCAAAACATTGTTGGCCGGTTCCGCCGGCTCCTGTGAATAAACGTCGGTAGCAGCGCCCGCGATCCTCCCTTCCTTAAGCGCAGCCACGAGAGCCTTCTCGTCTACGATGCCGCCCCGCGACACATTGATCAGCACACTGTCGGGCCTCATCATATGGAACTCAGTATCGGAGATGAGATTGAGCGTCTCGGGTGAGCGCGGCAGAACAATAACAAGGACAGTGGATTCCTGGATGACGGTTTCGAACAGGGCGCGACCTTCTTGCGCCAGAGCTCCTTTACGTCCGGCCACGAGGGTCTTCATACCCAGCGTTTTGGCTGTCCTCTCGATGTTCCGTCCGATTGCGCCGTAGCCGATGATACCGAGGACCTCATCGCGACACGTCCGCGGCGGCTTGCCATCGGGTCCGTTCATCGTCCTTTGCTGAGAGCCTTTGCTGGCCCATTCGCCGGCGCGCGTAAGCGAATGCGTCAGCATAATGGAGCGCCGCGTGTTGAAGTACAGCGCGAGCACATGCTCTGTAACCGTCGTGACGTTACAATGCGGCGTATTACCTACGACTATGCCCCGTGCTCGACACGCTGCGAGGTCCACGGCGTCTGTGCCAGAAGCGATTACCGATAACACTGCATTAATCTTACAGTTAGTAGATGCGTGACAGAAGCTAAACCTTTCTTTCTAATGGACCCTCATTGCCGCTAGTGCCGGAGCAATTCAGAACAGCTAGTAGGTATTCGTACTCTTCAGTTTTGGGGTTACCTCTGCGCTTAGGATCTCAGCCGTCATCGGCAAGATGGTCATAATCACGATATCGGCATCTCGAACCCTCTCGGCTACCTGGTCCGGTCTCGTGCGCTCATAGCTCCGGAATTCGCATGTGTGAGGTGCCGGGAGAGTGAAGTCGGGCAAGGGACAGAAAAATGTCTCTAGTGCGACGATGACCCAGTGAGTCTTTGATTTGGTCATATTGGGAGCGCCGGTCGGTCGGTTAAGGGGGTGAGCTGTAACTCTCAAATATTAATGATTGTTCAATGCAGCCTTGAGGTAACGCAACGTAAGGTATGTTTGAGACACACTTCTAGACAATTACCCAGGTAATGAGTGAGGTCCCATGAAATACGCTCTCATTCCGCGACCGGGCTTACGATATGTCGTAGAAGGGCGCATTCGCGTTAGACCCAGAAGTCTCCACATTGTCCATCGATTATTGATCACATCAATCTAATTGTCAAGTTCCGAGGTGCTTGAGAAACATAACAGACGCTCTCACGTTCAAATCCTGACTCAGTTCCTGGGAGCCTTATCTTTATGGTAAATCTAATGCATTATATATATAGGCTTGCTATTTGTTCCGTTTGTGTAACTTGTTGGTCCAGCCAACCAAGGAAACTAGTCTCGGTCTTCATTTGCTGCAGGAAGTATTTAATGTCTCGGGTTTTCTGTTCCAAGTGCCTAAAAAAACATTTCTCACATGTTTTTTTACCTGCAAGAACCTCATAAAAAAGGAGGGAGCCCTCAATAATAACATTACAATAAATATACATAGGTGAAATAACGTCGGCTATTCCTTGGGCCAGCTTTAAATACACTCAGGCTTGAGACCCACAGCTACTATTGGCTTACGGGCGCATATCAAGGTCAACACATAAAACAGAGCAATACGAGAAGATAAAATAGGCCAAAAGATAAGAAAAAGAAGGGTCTGGCCGGGGATTGAACCCGGGACCTCTCGCAAATCGCGACCAGCGGGATTTAATCCCACGGCCTCAGTTCAGGGTGAGCCCTAAGCGAGAATCATACCACTAGACCACCAGACCAAAGAAACAACAGGTTATGTCACCTGTGAACGACAACGACAGGACTCGAACCTGTGACCCCGAAGGGATATGATGGAACTATTAGGTCATAGACTCTAATTCTAGTCATACGCTTTAACCACTCAGCCACGTTGCCGGAAGATGTTAGATTGGGAGCGGGAATAAGCTTATGAATGGCCTCGTTTGCGGTTCGCGGGGCAGTGGGGCGGGTGGAGCTAAGTGGATTAGGTTCGCTGTGCAGGCGCTAAAAAGGTGGAGAAGCTGCAAGGTGCAGGTACTTGAAATACCTACCAAGAGTTTAAGTGTAGATAGAATCGACATCGATTAATCTGAGTTCTTATGTTTGATCATAGATTATTTGGTTTGAGGATCTATTGTCTTTTGTTGTTAAGGTATTTTGGAGAGGGTCAGACAGTAAAGGTAGAGATATAGGCTAAATAAGATAGCGAAGCGGTGTAGTAGATAGCTAAGGAAAAGGATAACTCAGCCGCTGGGTGGCTAAGCGTGAGAGAGTTTAGAGAAATAGGGGTAATAGACGTCGAGAAGGGAAACATGACAGATAGGACATATATACGCAGACGCTTTTAACTTGAACCGAAAGGGCCCATGTTGATCGCTAAGTTGAATACAGGGCTAGCAAGGACAAACTCAAAATATGCCGGGGTATTCTATGCCGAAGGGAATGATGTAGCCTACGCAGTCACATAGCAGATAGATAGATAGATAAGGGGTCAGTAGCCACGAAGGTGTATTGGTCAAATGGCCCCTAGCCTTTCCAACAGGTTGTTGGGAGAGATAGCCTAATTGTATAGACGAAGCCTCATAGGTATTATACACGATGGTGTCACCTATGCACCTGACAGTGTCTCAAACATGTTATATTGTTTTAAATGACTATTCAGGGTTTCCCTTTCCCGCATGAACCCGTCGACTTCTTCCTAGCAGATCATGACATTCTCTTCAGTTACCCTTCGCAGTGAAGCGAGTCTCACACAACTGGAGTTCACCGTAATACTTCTTGTACTCCGGGACAGCAGCAAAGGCTTGTATGTATGCAGTCAGATTGGGAAGCTCCTTGCGTGTCTCAGCATCCAGAAAGTACTGGAAGGCGCTGTACAAGAAGCTCGTAACCATGAGATCGGCCATTGTCAATTTATCTCCGACAAGGTGCTTCTTGCCGCCCTGTAGGACCGTTTCAAGGTACTTGGCGTTTCGCAACAAGGCGTTGACGTGGAAATCAAAAGCCCCTTCATTCATAGGGTAATATTTGACTGCCCGTACGAGACATTAGTTCCTAGTAATCCATGGGGAGGGACTGGACAAAAAATTGATAATGAATTAATATCACTTACAGACCGCCATAGCAAGTGGCGTGAAGGAGTTGGTAAACAACTCGCCCTCAGCATAGGTTGACCACTGCGTAATGAGGGCTCGTGTCTTTGCATCTGTGAAACAGAAAGAGTTAGTCCTATTGGCGCTCACAGGGATCGCGTTGCACACCTTCACCAAGAAGCTGACCGGCTTTTGGGCCGGCCTGCGCTATGTAGGAAGCGATAGCAATGCTCTCAGTCAGGCGAAATCCGTCGGCACCCTCAAACGCGGGGACCTTGCCAAGTGGGAATTTGGCCAAGAACTCTGGGGTCTGGTTGGTCTCCCGCATTGTGAATGCTGGGATATCTATCTCTAGACCATTCATATCGGCCACTATCAACGCCTAGTCATATTATTAGCACATGTTCACGCGAGAAGAAAAGCAAACTAGTGTTTTTCTTACCCGGTGGACGCGAGGGTTGTTGGTGTATGTCCAGATTGTGCCAAAGGGAGCCATGTTGAAAGATGTTCGTGAGGTTTTGGCGTTCTTTGGCGTTGGTGGTTAGCTCAGTTAGAATTTTCTAAAAGGTCTTAGAAAGATGTTGTGAGAGGGAAGTACTATGTTGCAATCGTGCGTGGTGTGGACTGGACTAGCAGACAAGTTTTGAAGGTCGGAGTACTTGCCTTTTAAAGTAGCTTCTCAACAGTGAGTAGTCGATAGTTTATAATACTGTCCATATTCGATTTGTCAGCTGCTACCCTCACGTCAAATCCACATACTCTCACGTCAAGCGTGGTAGTAGGACTTGCCGCAGCCCAATTCTCCGACCGAGAAATTGCCCAGTGGCTAGATGAACGGCTCCAATGCTAGACAAGCGAGACCCATCCTCCCCACCAACTCTGGTAGTTCCGACTAGCAGCCGGGACTTGTTCATGCAGTTAGTGGTACGCCAGCACCGAAGATTCTTATCGGATTTACTTGATGCTTAAATATTAGGTTCCCTCTGTCTCTCTGTGCTAAGGCACTATAGCTAACTTCGACATATACTCTGCCCTACTAGACAATATGCTATGCCGGGACAGGGGTGTATTAGAGGAGGCAGTAAAAATATATAAACACCTACATGCCGTCTGTTTTCTCTCGTGATGCACATAATTACACTCCAAACAGAGCTTTCTCCTTTAACTCCACTCAGGTCCCTGCAATGTAACGTTGTCAGGTCTGTGATTTCAATCTTCGTTGTTTTATTTTCCCGTCTTCTTGCCTACATTGACATTGATTATATATCCCTTGCATCCCCGCTGCAACGATAGAAGTCCATAAGGGATCGGAGCTAAAGCTAGACAGAGCCGCAAACAAGGGGTCGGTCCTTCCTATCAGGACAGCCCTACCCGCTCACCTAAATGCTGACTTACATCCATATCGAAACAGACAGCAAAACTACTCTTCGAGGTCATATAAACATGCTACTGTGTACTTATTTTCTGCTTCTTCATGAAGTTGTTGTCTTGTCTTGCATATTGTGCGCTCTCTAGGTTTGGGGTATAACAACTTGTCCGTATTTGTAAGCTGAATGAGACACGGATGGTTTGAGCTCACCTCACCGCTCTCTGGTCCGCTGTAAGAGAGCCGTCAGTGCCTATGCCTATCGGAACACTATTACCAATCAGGGGTATACAGATCAGCACCGGGATCATCGATATCCCTATTCAGGACTTGGCGCCAATGGGCATTATGGGCTGTAGGGGCCGAGATCAAGTGTCACGGAATTCCGGGAATTGTGGGACGCATCTCGGGATACGATCACAATTTTCGGTAGGATTAGTCGCCGTGAATGATGTAAGTGTTCTCGGGCAAGGATGGGATAAATATGGCCCAAAGATATCCCGACAATGCACAACTTAATATCCCACATAACTCATCAATGATGCTATGAGAAAAATTCAATACAATCATATGTAATGACCTCTGTATTAAGTCAAGCATACAATTGCCTCCAACACTAATAGCCTAGACCGGGCAGCACTGACAGGGTGAGGAACTAGGCTAGTCTACATTGAAACTAGTTAGTTTTCGCTGATCTTCCATCTTACACTGGCGGATATCCGCCAATCATTCCCATCACATATTGTAGGAGGTAGGGAAGGTAGGCAAAGGACGTGGCCGCAAACAGCCGCGTTGTAATCACAATTACCACTGTCACCGAACAAATCTAAGATTTAGAAATGACCGTTATCGAGATTGACGTTGTTTCCGACTTCGTCTGTGCTGTATGTGCCTACCAGCTCCCTAGACTAGCTTGGTAAAGACACCTGCATTGACAATGCTTTCAGTGGTGTTACATCGGGAAGCGAAAGCTGGAGAGTGCCATCGCGTTATATCAGAAAGTCTACCCAGGAGGAAAACATGACATCTTCAAGATCAATTGGCGGCCATACTATCTGGGTTACAATAAGTCTGGTTGTAGTGTTGAGAAGAGCGAGCTTGCCAAGATCAAGTTAGCGGATTGGAGCGAAGAAAAGAAGGCCGCTGCAATGAAGCGCGTGGAACAAGCCGGACGTGCTGTGGGCATTCAATTTAAGCACGGCGGTAAAATCGGGCCTCACGCGTGATGCGCACCGTCTAGTTTATCTCAGTCGGGGGAAATCGCCGGAGCTCACGAACGCTCTCGTTGAAAAGATATTTGAGGCCTACCATGGGCTTGAGAAAGATATATCATCGCTCGATCTGCTTCGCGACATTGCGCTAGAAGCTGGCTTTGAGAAGTGCGAGGTAGACGAGTGGCTGAGTTCCAAAGCTGCCGCTGAAAGTGTTGATGAAGAAGCTAAAGTATTCCGCGAGAAAGTCACAGATTCTGGTGTCCCGTGTTATATTATCCAGGACCTTTATCGTCTTGATGGCGCTCAGGATGCGGACGATTTTATGGAGGTTTTCGTCAAGTTCAAGGAAGACCAACATCCATCTAGCTAAGCTATGTTGCTAACATGGAATCAAAGGGGCTCTACTTGGCATTATGTTCTTCTGATAATGTTATTCACCATTTCCCCTCCCTCCTTCTTCTTGTTGCCGTAGAATACAGTACCCTGTAACATTGCGCAAAATCCTGTTTACATACCCAATACAGCCTGAGTTATTCACTCCTGTCGCCTAAACTTCAGTACGGGTTCAGCTTCGCTGGCGGCAAGCTGAACTCGCATACCCTTCGCGGCGTGCTCGACCCTTTCAGCAGTCTCAGGCTGGTCAATGTGAGCCTCCACTAATTCGTCATCCAGTCCGTGAAATAGAAGAGCTAGCGCCGAGCTTTTGAATAATGGGTGCTTCATGTTAACCAGAATTGCGAAGGCCAATAGCAAAGAGGTGATAAGAACGGTTGCCGCTGGAAGGATCGTCCAAGGCCAACGAACATGGATGTAAATCTCGTTTATGTGTGCAATGCCATGGAATATGGTTGCGTTCTTGTTATCTCCTGGATTTGTTGACCTTATTTGATTTGAAAGTGTTGTAGCTAAATTGACTGTAAGGTTCTGGAAATCCGCTGTATAAAGGTAGTTTGCAAGATCGATCGTATTAACCTGCGGTGAATACGGTGCGACGTTGATTACCGCCTGGGGCAGTAATTTAACTAGATAGTCCATTAAATATTCGACCAATGTTGAATCTACGGTGAAATTCGTGCCGGGTGATGATG